AATTTAAGAGACTCAATGATACATAAAATATTACCAACTCTTTCTTGAAGTGCGGCTAAGATGTGCCTCTTTTACTGCTGAATAGCTCTAAAACCCTCTAAGTGTTTTTGTTTTCAAACTGGTACAAGTCAAGGTGTCGTAGAGAAACCTTGGAACTCATATCAAGGAGGCACTCTGACATCGATTGTCACATTTAAAACAGGCATTACCAGGTGTTTATTCAAAATATTTTCATCAAATCTCCATTTATGAAAGTAATGCAAATTTTTGCCAAATCGGCAAGACATTAATAATAGTCTCGGTGATTCCCCTACCCTGAGCGATAAACTTCAGGGGTATCTTAACACTATTAATCAGTTTATTTGGTAAATAACGCAGGCGCCTGAATGACAACGACATGAAAGGATTAAATGGAAGCGCCTTCAGAAACATGACACTTTTAAAGGAACTGTAAGTGTTTCTCGTAAAAACAAAGTCAAACATGGTAACAATTTATAACTTCCGTTTGCAGGATCGCAATGTATTGGCATCCGTCTTATGACTCATGCTGTACAATGATAAGGAAACAGATCTAGATAAACGAAGAGAACTGATAACTTTTTTAAATCAGTCAAATAATAAAAGTTAGGAAAGGTTCAAATTCTGATTACACTCAAACGACCTTTTTTGTCAAAAATGTATCTCCGAAAAAAGTTTTTTAAACATATCCTCTGATGTGAATCATCGCATTTGATAACTTGTAGAACCGAGGAAATTAAATATGAATTCTTTAGATTACATCAGGTTGAGAAACCATTTATCGGTTTGTCCTTCTAAAATTCTGTTTATCATAGAGCCCGTTGCATTCCACTCGCCATGATCTCGAGCCAGGCATTTTCCAGTTCGGTCCTCTCACTCGTTGCATAAGTTCATAGAACTTGGTCGTATTGCATTGCATCGAATGGCATTACATTTTGTTGTGATTTATTGTCAGTTACATATGTAATTATTTTTCCTGTTGCGTTTCACACGATGCAGTTATTAGAAATAACTGTCTTTCAGTTTTTATTCTCTTATCGCTCGTGCACCAATTTAACCTATAGACTGATAATTTTGTAAGCTTTTCAATAAAACTAAGTAGATATCTCTTCTTCAACACAGATGGTTGCAAGACAACAATTTCACTGAATTGCCTCCCGAATTATTCAAAGATCTAAAAGGCCTAAATGAGCTGTAAGTTACATGGAGACGCTCTTTAGCTATTTAGCTTTATGACTGTGGTTAAGGGATGATTTTTAGCTTTCAATGTCATCTCCCTTCCACAACAGGCCTGCTCGTGTAATTATATAGACAATAATATGCTGGTCACCATATTATTGCGTCACTAATTATACCAGATTGGACGAGATATTTCCATTTTCAAACTTTTCTGATATTACCCTCAGCACAAAAATGAAAAAAAAAAAAAAACCAATTGAACCATCCTAAACTGTTCCCTCACTTTTGTTCTGATAATCAGAATAGGAGATTTTCAGTCATACAGCAACGAAATCGATGCGTGCCATAAAATGTGTAGTCATTACATAATTTTCTGTTGTGAACTAGTTAGATGTCTTCATAAGACATCGGCGAGACAGGAAGACGACTGGGTGACCGATTCCGAGAACACCTTCGCGATGTGGAAATAAATGACAAGGACGCATCCAAGCCAGTCGCTAGACACTTTAATCTTCCTTATCATTCTAAACAGCATATGGCAGTTTGCGGCCTTTCCTTACATCTAGGCAGTTCGGAAAGCCGTAAAACACTAGAACAAAAATTTATATTTCAAATCGGCACCCTTAATCCCCACGGAATCAACGAGCGCTTTTCATTCAACTAATTTATTCCTGTTTTTTCGTCACCATATTCCCACCAATGGCGTAGCTCCACTTTCTACATATAAATCCATACACAACCCACAATTCCTCTTATCGCTCTGACGAAGGGCTAACGCTCGAAACGTCAGCTTTTTTACTCTTTACGGTGGCTAATTTACGTTTTCAACCCAGTTGTTAACACTAAATTACCTGCTATACTCTCCCACCGACGCAGCACCACAGTTTCTTTAGAAACTTACCCCTTCATTCATAAGACACGGGCTGGATGATTTCTATACTGAATAATTCACTGGAATAGTAGGGATAATCAGCTCCTGCCAACCTTAGATAGCAGTGTTTAGTGTGCGATAAAATTTCAACTTGTCAACCGGTTGTTCCTTTTCTGTAGAAATAGCGAAATAGCTAAGACGATTGCACTGCATTAACTGTTCCTTTCTCTTTATGAGATTATGCACATTGCTTGTACACGATTAAATTCAGCTCTTTCATTATTCTTATTGACCAGCGTCTGTATACCTTTTTTTTCTACGAATTTCAAATAACAGGGTAAATTAAGATGCACTTTCTTGTCTTGTCATTCCTATTAGCTATCTGTCAAATAACAAATTGAAGACTCTACCAGATGGAATTTTTAACAGCCTCTCCAACCTCACATATCTGTGAGTACAATAATCATTTAACAAAAGTAAAAATTCAAAAAGAGGTCATTGAATTTTTACAAAAAGGCACATTTCTCAAAGCTGCGTGGCC